CGGTGCTGGGGGATGCCAAACGCACCCCCTAATTTCGACAACCCCTTTCCATAGGGCATTTTTGAGGGTATGTGTGTCTGTGCGCACAGGGACAAGGACCCAAACTGCTGCTCAGCTTTGCACTTGCTTAAAAAGCTAGCCTGCCAACCAAAAAAAAATGCTTTGCCTCTGGTTAACTTAAAAGCTAGCCTCCCAAAAACCAAAATGGAGAAAAGGAGGCCAGTGGATGACTCCACTGGGCTCCCTCCGCCGAATCGTCTCCTCTCCCAACCACCCAGCCCCTCCCCTGAGCCGTTTTTCGGAGCGAGCCTCCCGGAAGAGCTGGCGCCATCGCTCCAGGTCCGACATGATGTACTGCCTGCGCCAAGGAAATCCCTTCCAAGCATTCTGGTTTCTCCTGCTTGTTTTTGTCTTTGTTCGTGGCTTTCCCGTGGGCTTTCCGTTTTTGTTTCCCCAAGCTTCCGTGGGCATGTCTTGTCCGTTTCCGCGGAGGCCAGGTCCCATCTTGCTTCCGGCGAGGGAGGTCGGGTCGTCTTTCTTAGGAATCGGACCCCCCCAAAACTGCTTCGGTTGTCCCTTTTGGATTAAAGCCAAAAAGGGGTACCGACTCACAAGAAGAGACACCCGCACGCGCAGGCTTTTTGACTGGTTCCGCATCGGTCGCGGCTGTGTCAACCAACTTGAGGAGCTTTGACCGAGGGGACCGTCGACCCTGCGCCTCATGTACCCGGGATTGCTCTGCTGCGGCCGCGGGGTGAAGTGTGGGGCCGGGCTCTCGATAAGCTTCGCCTCGCGAGCGGGAGTTGAGTGGGGTTGGGCTGGTTTGTGCGTGGTTTAGGGTGGATTTAGTCTTGGCTTTGGGTTTGTGTAAGGGTGGGTTCAGGGGTTGGGTCAGGGTTGGTTCAGGGTTCGTTTTTGGGTTAGGATTGGCAAACCGCAGGTTGGAACAACGAGCTGGTGCCCCAGCTAGAGGTCACGCCGCTTGGTTCTTTTTGCCAGAAGTGCTTTTTCAGCGGGCAGGAAACTGACTGGCAAGAAATTGATACCCTGAATCATTCCGCCCTGTGACCAAACGAATGCCAGACCGCTGCAAGTGGCTTTGTCTCATGGGCAGACTCCAACAAAAACGGGGTGCTGGCCTTTTCCGTACAGTCTCCCTCCAAAGCCAACCTGAACAAGTTCCCAAAAAGAGAACCAAAGGCACGCCCAAGGTTTTGGGTTTTGCATTGCTCAGTACCTCCCGGGAGAATGGAAGTTGAATTCCAATCAGCTGCCCTCTGATGGGTGATTTTTTGTGGTGAGGGTCCCGCCAATCCAAAATTTCCGTTTTCAGGAATACCTGAAATTACAACGAAACAAAACCCACTCCTGGCGTTCCTATCAAAATGGGCGCCGAGCTTTGGCCGATTCCCCTGAAAGACTACGGAAGGCTGGTTTCAAGTTCTCTGGAAATCACCATTGGGTGTCCTCAAACCAGCCATGTCTGACGTTGGCGTGAGAAACCTGGGTGTTGAGGCGGTGTTTGTAGGCACCGCCTTGGTGAAAAAGCGATTTGCTCACGTTCTAGCCCATCCAAATACCAAGAATTGCTTCCAGACTGGTTCGGTGTGAATCTGCAGAGGTCATTGCTGGCCAGAACTAAACTCCTGTTGACAACAAACTCATCACCGTTCTTGTAACCCACGCTCGATCAAAAGCGAGCGCAAAAATGATAGAGGTGCTGTGCTAATATTTTTGCGATACCTTCCCCAAATTCTTCGCGATCTTCTGAGAACGTGGTCCAAACCCCAATTGGCAGTTTGAATGAGAAAATCAAGCCACAAAGAATTCTGTTGTCAACGTTGTCTATGAAGAGACCACACAAATTCCAGTACAGCCAAGCAACTCGTGATGTGATTGCTGAAACAGGGATCCTTACATTGTACACCTGAACTTTGCAACTTGTCAATGGTGGTGTCCAACCTTATTTTGGTGTTTGAAAAGCAACATGTTTCAAATGGTTGCAAAATGGCCATCTTTTAAGGAGCCCTGTGAAAAGTGGAGTATTGCTCGCGGAAAAAGTCCAGACCGCCAGGTTCTTCCATGAGAATAGATGGGTGCCTCAAGCCCAGCGGGAAAAGAGGAAACAAGTCTTTCCTCTGACAGCGGGGAAGCTTTTCTTTTTTTCCCGAGCCTTAAAGGAGTGCCGCGACATTCGATTAGATCTCTTTTTTGGGATGGCTCTGCTATGAGATGTCTTTCTTCCGGTCGGTGCCCTTTTTTGGATGGGGGCGGCGGGGGCGGGATTGGGGGATTGGGGGATTGGGCGTGGTCCGCAAAGCAGCCCCAATCCCCAAGCCACGAGCACCGGGCCTCCTCGTTGACCTCGGGCCTCGGATATGTTTCGCAGGTGCTGCCCCAAACGGAGAGCTTCCCCTTTTCATTCCCCGTCTTCAATCTCAGGAAAATCCCCTCCAAAAAGACTCCCACAAAAAAAGAAGCTCCAAGAAGGATCGGCTTTTCTTTCCCCTCTGCTTTTCAACCTCCAAAAAGATTCAAACAAAAAGAAAGCTTCTGCGAGCCTTTAGGCAGCACCTCAGGTCTGCGGGAAACGGAGCCAGCATCCCAATTCGCGGTGGCCCGCGCGCCTTGAGCCCAGCTGACACAAGCCGCGCCTTGTGCCTTTCTAAGGGCTGAACTCGGTCCCCTCAATTGGGTACCCCCTCTGACCCCGCCCCCTTCTATCCTATATATATATATATATATATATGTACGAATGGTATATGCAATGTATACATAGAAGGAGAGAGAGAGAGAGAGAGAGAGAGAGACAGAAAAATGTGTGTGTGTGTGTGCATATGCATACTTGTAGGTAAGTACCCTAGGAAGGAAATTGATGGTTGGGCCAGCCGGAAGACAAAAAAAAAGGCGCAACAGTAGCCCTGGAGTTTGAGTGGAGCTTCAGCCACACTGTTGCTTGCCCCCGGGGAAGGAAACAGACTCCCCGCATGGTTTCGAAAGAAACACCCCGAAAAGAAATGCAAAGGGGGATTCCCGAGCAAGTAATTCCAGCTGAGTGTGCGGGTCAAAAATAGAGGAAGGCAAAATGGAACCCTGGTAAAACCTGCGGCCCCCTGGTAGGCTAAGGTGCTTCTGAAAAATCAGGTGCGCCCCCAGGCAAATGTGCAAACGTCTGGTTGTCATGCTTGAATCTGGGTACCCCTTTTCGAGTGGTCTTCACAGGAAACCACCAGAACAACCAAAAACCAGGCCGAAAAACGCGCCACCGAGCCGCGGCATCCACTTGGCCCGCACCGCGGGGAGCTCCGACGCCATCGCTCGGGTGGATATTTCCGGCGACAGCTCGGACCTGAGACCAACAACTGCCGATGCCGAGTTTTGTTTGGTGCAAAAGAGAAAGAGCTCTCAGTTGCGCAGGAATACACGTGTCGCTGCTTTAAAGCTATGTCCGGCGGATGTGCGTGATTCAAGAGATCTGCATGTGCAAGCTGCCGTCTCTGTTGTGATCCTGAGGCTAAGCCTGCCGAGGAAAACAACATCTCAGCCGGGCCCAAAACCGGAGCAGACTTGAGATGTGCCTATGATGAAAAATCCGTACGGATGAACATGGGTCCCCAAAAAAATGACACACCCATAAAACCTGAGGAGTGCCTCCCCTTCAGCTTAACGCGAAACCCAAAAAAAACTATCAGCTTTAGAGGACTCCCCTTCTGGGGGGGGGACAAAGGCTTTAGAAGACCCGGGTTGAACCTACTATGGCCAAGAGGAGTCGGTACGCGTGCTGTTGATCTGGCCAAAGGGAGGATCCCCTTTGAAACAGCGCTGCAAAGGAAGCTGCAACAACCAGTCATTTTTGCCCAGGGCCCAGCTCTTTCAATGCAAGCATCTGAGTGAGCAATGTTTTAGCGGGATGCCCGTTGCCCGAAAAGGTAGGTAACCCCTCGCCATGTCCCATCTGGTTTTCAAAGGGTTGTTTTCTTGGGCCCCAAGCAAGGGAGTTTCACGGGTGAGCTGGCGCAGCCCCGAATCGGCGAGCTCGTGGTCTGTGCAAATGCTGATCTCTGATTTGGGCATCTCTTAGAAAAGGGGATTCATAAAATGAGGGCGTTTCTTGGAACAATCCCCTAAAACGACCCATAAGAGGCACCGTCAAGAAAGACAAATAACTCTAGCTCTCAATCAAGGGCAAGAGTAAGGAAAACCCACTGGTTGTGAACAAGCCGTCTTTGGCCCAACTCGCACAGGAAGGTCGGGACTTTTGCTGCTCGCATAAAATATTGAGGGGCACGTTAGCACTTGCCCCATTGGTTCTTTATGTTTTTGTTATGTTTATTATTTGTATTTTGGGGAGGGTGCACCAAACAAACAGGCTTTCAGATTCCGTTTCATATATCGCAAACCCTAAAACATGACCTCCTGTCCACTAACATGAAACCTAGAGGGCCCTGTCCAAAGGAACACAGTCTTCCAACACCCCTCAGTCAAGTTCCATGAAGTGGACAGGAGGGTAACGCAATTTTGGGTTGGATACCCAAGAAAAGAGAGAGGTTTGGGAAGGTACCCTTTGAATACTTCACCAATGCTTCCCATTTTGAGAAACACCCATCTGGGTATGATTCTGGGGGGAGGGCCCAAAGCACCCAACTTCAAATAGCCCTATGTTGCACAATTTGATCTCTGACTGCCAGGCGTGTGGGGCATAAGAAACCGGCCTTGGGATTCCGACTTCGCCGACCTCCACTAGCAGCACTGGCAGCCTCATAGAAAGACGTTCCTGGGAACCTATACCCTCTAGCGCTGTTTTCGGTTTGTGTGGTCTCCCTAGTTTTTTCTCCGGAGTTCTATAGAAGCCTGTAATTTGTGCTCCAAAAGAAGAAAAGCTATCAATGTCCAACCCCAATAGTTTCGACTAACCATGCGGAGCGGTCGAAATGTTTAGCAACTCCTTGCCTGCCAACCCTGGAAACCCGTTTCCGCCTTCGCGCACCGGACTTTTGTTTCTCGTGCGTTCCGTCGCTCCGAGCGCTTTGCTCGGCTTGAATCGAAGCTCCGAAAGGGTCCTGGCGTCCAATCGAGCGAGATCCAAGGCCAGCGGCAGGAAGAACACGCACACAGCCAGGCCTCACACACACACACAGGAGTTTGTTGGTGCGAAGTGGCGAGATCTGAAGGTCGTTGCTGCTCCTGGCCTTGGGTATTCACAAGAATTGTCAGTGAAATGTTGAGGCCGTAGACTGATCCTTAGCGAGGTCGCTGTTTAAAAACACACAGAAACACACACACAAACAAACACACACACACACACACACACACACACACACACACCAAGCGGAACCCTGCAACAGCAGTTCTGCAGCTCCTGTCGGGGTACAGCTCGCTCCCTGCTTTGATGAGCCTTGACCGTTAATAAGAAGTGGCTTCGTCTCAGGCACCCGACGGCCAACAGAGTGGGAACAAATCTCACGAGATGGTTTCAACAAAGGACCTGAGCACGATGGCAAAGTCTTTTTGCAGCGCTCATGGGATAGAAATGGGTTGCTATTTTGTTGTGCTTCCTCTAAAAAGGAAAACCGAGGGAACGCCTTTCACTTTGGGGAGGGGTTCCCATGAGACAAACCCCCAATGCCCCGTTGCCTCATGAAGCGACTCTGTTTTGAGGGGCTGCCGGGCTCCAGGGAAGTCTTAGCAAGGCGAGTGCATGAAATTTATGAACACTTGCGGGTCCCCGGCCTGGCGTAGGCCCCTGCTGAAAATGGTGGTGCTACAGTAATCAGAGTGCCTGATGATCGAGTATGGGAGCCGGATATCACCCTCTTCAACAGGTGTGAGGTACCAAAACGCAGTGTTGCATGGGGTGAGTTGTAAAGCAATACGTTGACTGTGGATCGCTGTCGCCTCAGTGATTGGACAGATTGCCCCCTTCGAAAGCCCATCAATTCACAGGAGTTCCAGAGTACTAATGAAACTGCCGCCTTCAAAGTCGACTGGAAATCGATGGAAACCAAAATAAAACCCTTGAAACTGCCCACTTTTGGGGCCCAACAATTCTTGCCCGGCGCCCCCAAACAAGCAACCAGCCCCCAACCCAGCAACTCCTTCCCCCCAGCCCCCGCCCCCCAAACCCCCCAAAACACCCTTCCCCCCCCAACCCCCCCCCAACCCCGCTCAACTGCAAACAGTGAGCCTCAATGAGCCGTCAGGGAGGGATAGCAAACAATTTGCTTGAGATTTGACCAATGCCCCTCAATTCGTCAGGAGGAAACAGCAATCAAGAACTGCACCACAGCACAAGGCCGCCCAGGCCGCCCGGTACCAGTTGGAAGCAACAGCTTCCGCTATGTTCTGTTCTGGATCAAAGCCTGGCTCTTGGCCACAGTCTCGTCTTCCGCAATCTCATCCAAGCGCCCCCTGGCCACAGCTGAGCTGCTAGGAAAGCAATTCTTCCACGACACGGCGACACATGTTGCACTGCTCAAACCATCCGCCTGCCGTCTGCTGCAACATCAAGACCCCCAGGCATCTTGATCCTGAGGCGCAGTTTTGAGTTTGGCGAAACGATTGCGCTCTGTTGAAACTCTGTTGTCTGTTACTGCAAGATCCCCCGCGCCGCGTACTGTCCACCCTTCTCCGTTGTCAGCCAAGCTTCTTCTGCAAAAAGCGTGCAGCACTCCAATACTTTCGAATAACTGGAGCCACTGGCAGCAGAAACTGCCTTGGTGCTACAAACATGATTTATTGTAGGGCAGGAGTCAGGAGTCAGGAGTGCTGCAGGCCAATCGTTCAACCATTCTAAACTTCCTCAGACACAAGCCTGGCTCGACCAAGCGGCAGGAACTCAGCCACAGAATTCCAGCGCCAACTCAGGATTGTTGCGGGCCAGGACGCCAACATGTCCTTGTGTCCTCAGCGCAGACATTGAGAAACTTTCTAGAAAGCCCTTGACGTCTTGGAGTCTTGGAGTCCTGAAGTCAGCGGTCAGCGAGACGACGCACAAGCATCGTGAATCACAGTGATCACAGTGTCAGTGTCACCGTTTGACGTTGCCATCCATGCCATGATGCAACCAGCCAATAACCAGCCGAACCTTTAGCCGAGCTACGTGCCAGCCAAGCAGGTCCGCCGGAATCGCAGCCGCAACCTGAGCTCGAATCTGCACAAGCACCGGCGCCGTCCGCAAACTAAACGAACGTCAGGACATATCAAAACCCGTCAACCCCCCTCAACCCCCCTCAACCCCCCTCAACCCCCCCCAACCAACCCCCAACCAACCCCCAACCCCCCCACCCCCCAAACCCCCCCCAAACCAAACCCCCCCCAAAACCCCCCGAAACCCCCCCCAAATACTCCCAAACCAAACCCCCCAAACCCCCCCCAAACCCCCCAAACCCCCCAAACCAAACCACCCCCAAACCCCCCCAAACCCCACCCAAACCCCCCAAACCCCCCAAACCGCCCCCAAACCCCCAAAACCAAACCCCCCCAAACCCCCCAAACCCCCCAAACCCCCCAAACCCCAAACCACCCCCCAAAACCACCCCAAAACCCCCAAACCCCCCGGACCTTTCGTCGCCAGATCCCCTACAACTCCTTCAGAGCGACATCAGCTCGCCCTTCAGATTGAAGCTGCTGGGCAGCACCACTTTGTGGAGCTGCATGATCAGCACCTCAGCCCAGCCGAACCCGTGCCCACCCGTGCCGAACTCCCGTGCCCACCCGTGACCTTCGGACTCCCGCGATTTTTTTTGAGACACAGGGGTTTGGTTCTCCCCATTTGCACCCGCAGTTTTTGCTCAGAAACCCGGTGGTTCATGAATTCTGAAGAGAATGATCCCTGAAAAGAATGGGAAGCCAGGGATTCCCTTGCCACGTCCCTACCGTGGCAATGACCCGAACATCGGACGCCGTGTTGCCGGCTCGCAGCCCAAAGGACAGACCCCAGCCTTCGCCCTCCCAAGTAGAGGCCTTGTTGGCGATGTCACATGGCTCCCCAAGAGCGGAAACCACTCCTGATTCATCTCAGGATTCGTCTCCTCCAAAAACACAAGCCCATCCCCCGTTTTGGTGTCCCAGAAAATGAGAAACCAAATGGCTGCCATTGATCGTGCACAAAAAAAACCACAAGAAGAGGTCCATCTTCGGTTTTCTTTGGCCTCCCAACCAAAAAACAAAACAAACCAAAAAACGCGCCCTTTCGTAAGTCTCCCTTTTGGAGTCACCTCACAAAGACCCCCTTTTGCGGGGTCCGTTCGGCGAGGTCCTTGAGGCGGTCCTGAAACCAACTTGCCACGGACACTCCAAGTTGGCGGTTTTCCTTTTGCCCGTTTTTTGCCCCCCCCCCCTCAAAACTTTGGTGGTTTACCCTTTGGAGAACAAAGCTGAACCAAACCAAACACACACGCACACAAGAAAAAGAACAAAGAAAAGCACCCTTCCAAAAACCTACTCCCCCCCCTTTGCAAAAAAGACAAACCTTTAACCAACAAAGCAACTCCAACAAAACCGCGCCGCACCCCGGATCACCGCCGGATCTCCGGATCGCCGGATCGAGGCGCCACGGACACGAGCACCAGCAGCTGGCCCAGCAGCTCCTGCAGCTCCGGCTGCTTCTGGTGCAGCGCCAGGTCCAAAAACACCTCCGCGGCCGCTGCTTCGGGTTCCCGGAGAAAAAATGAAAGAAAAAACGGCCCTGCTTGGTTGCTGCAACGACCCCCCTGCAAAAAGTGTTTCGCTTTTTGGGGGGTTAGTGAACACCCAAGTTGATTTCAACCAAAGGTTAAAGTCTAAAGATCCAACCCAATAGCAGTCAAGCCTCCCGGGGTCTCGGGGGGGCCAGCAACCACCGGCTTGTTGGTGACAGCTTGGTCTGGGGGGTTGGACTGAGAAACCTGGTCTTGGGGGTCCCTCACAAAAGGAGAGTTGGTTTTTGGAGACCCGTTTGGAGGGTTTGCTTTGTTTTTCCAATTAGTGGTTTTGAAGGGGGTAATGTTCGAGAGAAGCCAAAGCAAACCTTGTCCTGAAGGCTCACAAATGTTCCAAATAATTGGTCGCTCGGAGTTGTCCTTTGGGCGTCCCTTCAAAACACCAACCAAATTGCTGGTTTTGACGGGAAGCCCGAAATCCATATTTCAGAAAGCACTGCATTTCAGCTTCCAAAGCGGTTCAGAGCCGAATCGGCTTTTGAGGTGTTGCGGGGTCAGTTTCCCTAAGTGGGTTGGCCTTGGTTTTTTGATCCTCTACATAAGTTGGTCGATGTTTTAACCCGAGCTGTTTTACGCATGGGCATCCTCTGCGAAGGGTGGAAAGGAGAGGCCTAAAGCCCCATCCCTCTAAATGGGGTTGTCCCTTCTCTTTGGGGGTGCCCTTGTTGCAACTGTTCTTTCCAGGGAAACAGTCCTTAAGCCATAGCTGTGCTCGTTTGCGCCAGCCAGCGGATTGGGAAACGGTCATCCGTTGCTCATCTCCTTGTGGCCGGAGTACGCCCTCCCTATTGGAGAACACCCAAAAAGAGTCCTTCACAAGGTTGAGGTCCCGTTTTAGGATAGGCACCAGCTCAGGGTCGTACGTCCTATTGGGGAGTCTTCTGTAGTTACAGGCAATATTTCTGGATATGAAATATTACAGGCATGAGGGACTTCGTCTTCAAGGCGTTTTGTGCGGAAGCGGAAATGATCGCCTTCACTTGTTTCACTCGGACCTAGGCCCGAGCCCTGTTGGGGTACCATTTCAAAACGTACCCCAGATTTTGGGGGGGCCAGCTGGTGATGCATTGTGAAGGGGGCCGTGAAAGCAGGGCAAACTCGGCCACAGGTTTGGAGCACATGAGCGGAGGTGATACCAAGAGAAACCGCCAGGGCTGCGCTCACCGTCGGCTCTGCAATCTGCCACCAGCGGCTTCCGGGTGATGCATCACTTCAACTTTCACCTTCATGGCCCCAAACGGCGCCACATATGGCCATGGGTCAAAATCTTGGTTACCTCTCGGTGAACATCCCAATCCCCACTAAAATAGGTTCTAACATGGGTGGTGCACCTACCCCAAAATGGTACCATCGGTTTTGACCCACGGCCATAGTCCGAAAGTACCACGCATCCTCACGGAGCCACGCGTTCTCGCGGGTGAGCCGCGCGTTCTCTCTCGCCGGCTGCGCATTTCTGTGCCGGACGCCTTAACGAAGTTCGTCGTTAGCAAGGCGCTGAAACTACCCACATGACCAGTTTGAGGCATGTTGATCCTTTTGAGAGGCGGTGACCACTTAAACGGCTAATCCCTCGCAAAGTTCGCTTCAAGAACAACCGACTTGCTGCCCTTAGGGCTGAATTGATCCATCGACTTCCAGTGGTTTGTGTCAGCTACAGAAACGGGCACGGTACCTTATGTTGGCAGAATTATTTGGCTGCCCCGCCTCAGGATGATCATACTTCAAAGACGGTGCAAACAAAAAGATGTCAAAACAACGGCTTGGACAGCCCGACATCGATTCGTTTGCCACTTATGCCCTCTGCCCCTTGTTCCAGGATTGTCCAGATCGACAAAACTTTGCGAAACCACTGGATGGAGCACCCTCACTGCAAACAAATAAAGTAAAAAAAACAACGGCTGGGTTTTGCGATACCGCTGGATGAAGGACCTTTCAAACCCGAATTCCTCCAGGGCATTGAGGGGTTCCATCCCTCCCACCCTTGCCCATGTTCCCCCATCGCCCATCGCCCATCCGGCCGTCAGGGGCACTGAGAGAGCGGAAGTGCCCGGAAGCAACATGGGCGAGCCCCACATCACCTCGACAAAAAAGCGAGCTCCACCCCGACAACGGCCCACAACCGGTTGAGGTGTTTTAGGCTAAAAACCCCTAAGAATGGCCAAAGAACTGGGGGTTTGTGTGAAAAAACCCTTTGAAAAGCCAACAATACTTGGGGGATCTGAAAAGGGCCACAAAAGCGGTCCGGTTGAAAACCTGGCTGCCCCACTCCCTGGTCTTTCGCGCGAAAAAAACTTCACCGGGCAAAGCGGCGGGAAAAAATCCACCAATCTGTGCAGCCTTTTGGAAGGGCTAACAAGCCTTTATGGCCATGTGAGTCACTTGCTCAAAACCGATCGGTACAAAATGGTGAACCCAGAACCATGCTTCAAGAATGAGAAAGGTGGCCGCAACTATTTATGGCTGGGATTCTCCCTTACTAACCTTCATCTACCCAGGTTTTGATTGTGGCTCATGTGATCAGAGCTCAACACCTAGTGATGGTTGGTTCTACATTGAATGTCGAGGCTTAGAATAGGCCTCACTATAACCGTGATTTAAAAAAAGAAAAAAAGATGATAGTAGACCAACTGCTAAAATGGCCACAAAGGGGTTTGGGCGCTGCTCATGCTGGTCAAACCAACAGTCCTTGGCTTGTTGGCTCTGCTCAAATGGTTGAACCCATCCGAAGGGGAAGGACTGTATGAGATCTGAAGCTTGCAGAAATTCTTTTCCGCGCCCTGCCTACACTTCAAGCGGGCCCAGTGCAAGAGCTCGGGGCTTTTCTTCTGACTGCGTCCACTGAAGCCGTTTGAAGCCCAGTGAACGTCTAACGCTTCAAGCTCGCACGCTTAAAGAGTGGCCAGGAGCGGACTGAGGCCGGGACGATGCAGAGATAAAGCACCTCAATGTCCAAGCGCAGTGCGGTTGGTTTGAAGGGAAACCAAAAGACAAGTCGGCATCTTGGATCCGGTTCTGGCAACATACATGAGTCAAGTCTCAACAACCCAAAGGTCAAAATTTGGTTTACGCAGCCCGAACCATGTATATCCGCAGTTCTCGACCTTCTACCCGGATTTTGCTATTGGCTGAGCTGATGCATGGCTCGGAGAGAAGTCGACAACACGGTAAGCCTCGTTGCCTTCAAAACGGGAATTGGCCCAAAACATTCCTGACACGACGCTAACAGGGGTGGAATCAAAGCCAAGTGGGCCCATGCCGGTCCCCCTTCAATGATTTGCAGCTCGATTTGTGCGGCTGGATAAACCGAGTGCTCAGAGTATGCGTCTCGTCTGAGGTCAATCGCCGTCTCGTGAAGTGGCTCTTATCACAGCCCTCAGCGCAATACCTACAAGGCCAGAGAGCACAAAGGGGGATGTGTCAAAACCAGCTGAGCCCCAACAATCATTCGTTGCCTCCGGCAAAAAACTTGATGGAGCTCCAAAACAAGATGTGCAACGCCAAAACAGCAGATTTCTGCACAAATGAGGTTTTCGGGTTCCACGTTTCCATGGGCAGGGGAGTAGGCATCCGATTCACGAATCCACCAGGTTCAACCTAAACCCGATAGGATAGTTTGGACATCCTCACCCCAAACCTCACCAAACAACAAAACATCCCGCTCACCTCAACCCAAACCAAAACCTCGCCAAAGCCCCAACCATCCAAGATCCATGTTTTCAGACCCCAGAATGGACATACCCCAAAATATGCGTGGTTTATAAGCCATAGGCCATAAAGCGTCCTACAAAAGTAGTGGTATAAACCCTGGGCCTTAAAAGCGGCCTAGGGCCATGCCCATTGGGCTGTGGCGAATTCCAAAAACCGGAATTCCAAAATGGGGCAAGCCCATAATAAATGGAAACCTGGTGCCAAAACCTGCGGTTTGCCAGCCCCTCTCGTTGAATTTTGATTGCCACGCCAAAACTTGGGGTACCCCCGTTGGCCTTAGGAAACCCACGGCCCACGGCCCGAGGGTTTTGAGGGCCCCCGGCGTTCACAGCGGACGCCAGCAGCGCCGAGACCAGCGTGCCCAGGGCCGCGCGCCCGTGGGGCCTCGGATGTTGGAGCCGGGGAGCCGGAGAAAGGGAGACATGGACCCGTCGAAACAAACGTTCTCCAAGGGGTGGAGTCCTTTTCCAATACTTTGAACCATCGTTCTTTTCAAAAACCAGCTGTTTCCCCCAGGGTGTTGGGTGTTGTTTTTTCTTTATTTGTTGTTTAAGGAGGATGCCTGGAAAGAATGGGGAAGGTACCCCTAGAACCAACTAGAAAGAATCCCTTGCATTCCCAACCAGAATGTCTAAAATCCAACCAGGAAGCGAAGCAAAACTTGCGATCGGCGCTCAGGGGATGAGAACTGACCCCGAAACAAACCATCTAACTGGTGGTTGCCTTGGGAATCCCTGGGTTCATTCCTACTGAGCACCAGCAAGGATAGGTAGGGAATGAGCAATGGAATGAACCGTTTTGGGATTCCCGAAAGGAAACCAGAGGATGGATGGTTTACAGGGGTCATTCTATTTCTCGTTCCCTGATGAGCACCAGCCTCTTGGTTGTCCTTTAACCGAACCCCAAAAAAGGGTACCCTCAAAAAAAACAACAGACCCATATCATGCTTGATCCATTGGTTCCTTCAAACGAGGCCAAAGAAAGTAACCATGTCTTGTGTTTACCACTACGAACCTTGTTTTGTGGTAAAGAAACAGTTTGGTGACTCGCTTGAATGAAGAAATGGATCAAACAATGTGATACTGAGGCCCCAATCAAAACCTGCGCGATTGTCGAGCGGCAGCTGCAGATTCTCCAGACCCGCCAGATGTGCCAAGCACACGCCCGGCAGGATCACCAACAGGTGCCTCGCAAAAATCGAGGCCCGTTTTTGCAACAAATGGCACCTAGTGTATAGAAACAGAGACTAAAGCCTGCGGTTTGCTTGTTTTTTGAGCCAGACCCAAATCCGTTGAGGAGGTTAGTCCTCGAGTGAAGGCGTTTGATGGTTTTCCTCTTTTGGCGATGTACCTTGGTTTTCCAAACAAAGGGACAAATTTTGTTCAACCTGCTTGTGTGGAAAAGCGGCTGTGGACATGCTGAAAACACAGCCTTTGAAAATATAATTTTCGTCCATGTTTTTTGGACAAGTTCCCTGTCCAAGGAATTTGATTCATGAATTTGGCTTTGCGAAAAGATTAGTACCCTTTGTGTTGATTATAGTGAGTATCAATCAGTTGGCATACCCCACCAATGTATACAGGTAGCACATATGCAAAGATTCCAACCAGGAAATGGGTCGGGAAATCCACAATCGGGGGCCCGCGTGCTAGCTGATTGTTCCTCTACTATACCTTTAAGTCAGGAATCGTCTGTAAGATCTTGAAGGCAACTCCACAAGCCTGCGGAGAGCAACATTTACTGCTTGAGCCGATGTTATTTCTGGGCCGTTGGGCGGCTTGCCTGTTGAAATTTAAAAAAAAAATGTTTGGGGTCCGAATTCCCGTTTTGGCAGAACAAATGGCTTCTCCAAAAAAAGGTGTCCCAAACAGAATGTGTTGTTTGCCCTTTGGTCTCCCTTTCAATTCACCCAACAAGAGGTCGACACACCCATTAATAGGGGCCATGTTCCCTCCAAAAGGGTGAACCCACAAAATGGGACCTTCCCCCCAAACCGAAGTCGCCGCTTCTGCTTCCGGAGTCCCTACGACCCAAGCCTCAACGCGCCGGAAACCAAGTCACCCCCTATCCTGCAGGGAGACCACTGATTCCAGTGTCTGACTTTGACTGCCAGTCAACATCATGACCCCGGCAAAACTGATATAGGGCTCTTGGTGTTTTGTTGGAGGGCACCCTTTTCACCTTAATTGGGACCCCACAAAAAGACAAAACCTTTCACCTTAGCGATGATCCCAGAGAAAAAAAAATAAGAAGAAAAAAATGGGAAAAACAAGAGAAAAAAATGGAAAAAAAAGAAGAAAGAAGAAAAAAGAAACAAAAAAAACAAAAAACGGGTGCTGGTCCTTTTGGAGGGGGTCCGGTCCGCCCCTTTTCACACCCTCGCAGAAACGCCCAACGGCAAGCTGGTTGGGCAGAGTCGAGGCACCAAAGGCTGACCCAGGCGAAGAAATGCGCGAGGAAGGCCGCGGACTGCTTGCCGAACAGCCAGCGGAACAGCACCTGCCGGTCCCAGCCGGACCGAGGGGGGCATCCAATGCATTTGGGGCAAAGGAAGCCAAAGGAAACCAAAAAAACCAAAGGAAACCAAAGGAAACCCAACCAAACTGGGGGGTTGCAAAGCCCGAGAAATCGTGGATGCAGCCATGACTAGAAATCACTGTCAGGGATTGCCTGCACTCACATTTCAGTGGCCTTCCAGTGAAGCGCAAATTGTCCGAGTGCGGCTTCATCCATTGACGCCCTTCCACGGGAAGCGGAAGCCAAGTCTTGTGGAAGCTGGTGGAACAAAGCCCTCTTGCCCCGCAAACGGAGGCTTTTCTTGGGAAGCAGCCAGGGTTCCTAAAGCTGCTGAAGACTTACCACGGGGCCGTGAGAAGCGCGGCAAACGTGGATTTGCTTCCCCTGAATCCCCTTGACAACTCAACAGGGACAGAAACCCAGGAAGCCAGAAATCGGGACCCTTATCAACCCCCGGACCGGTGTGTACGCTCCAACCCTGTTTTGAACATGGGGCACTTGCAAGAGATAGAAAATTTGAAAGTCAGTCGGCGGCTTGCGAGGGAAACTAAAGCCACACCAAACCAACTTTATCCCAGAGGCGTTTTGCATCAGAAGCCTCTTTTTGCACACCTGCCCCTCGCGAAAAGATGCGCATCACGCAACTGTTGTCAACTTGAATCACACACACACACACCAAATTCTTGCGAAAGACTAAAATCAACCCTTCTTTGGAGGTGGTTTTGGGGGAGGGGTCCAAACGCAAAAGTTAGATGAAAGACTGACCCTTTGAAAAGGGGTTGATGTTTCCGGCTGAAGTCGGGACACGCGTGACATCAGCTTCCCTGAAAAGTGTGGAACGTGTCTTCTTTCAGGACACCCACCTTTTGGAGTGGTTTTAAAAACGGGAAACCATAAGGAAACCCATAAATTGTCAGGGTCCCCTCAAAAAGGACACATTTTATTGGTGTGTTGAAGCCTGGTGGGTGAAGCAAGGAGCTTATTTGTAGACAGCTTGAGTGTGACCAAATATGATTAGAAAAAGGATATGGCGCATGACTCAGAGGGAAAGTGCAAAAATGCGGGGCTTCCCTTTTGTTCCCGTAACAACAAACCCAAAAAGCTTCCTACGAAAAGGTAAACACACAGAACAGGGTTCCTTTGGGTTCCCTTAACGACAAACCCAAGCACAAAAAAAAGATACAATTGCATAAACAAATAAAATACATAAAATGGATGAAGAGACAAACACATAAATGTCTATATGTAAAAACGAACAAAGAAGCCCAGGTCAGGTGGTATCCCCAACAGCCCGCAACCCTCCGGAACCCGCCAGAACCCTCCTTGACAGCTGCCCCAAAACACCCCAGAGCTTATCTGGGCAGAGTCCCCATAGGTTTTCAGCTGTTGGGGAATGAACAGCAATATAAATCAGAAAACAAATACATGGCGAACGCAGGTGCTTGCGACTAAAACCACATGAAGAATTCTAAATTACGAGAAAGAAGAGGTCACAGCCAGAACAGGGTTCCTTTGGGCTCCCCCAACAACAACCCCAAGAAAACAAAACATACAATTAACTAAATGAATTAGCGGAAGAGAACAAAAAAAAGAAGAAAAAAACTAAATTGCATCTTCTTTTATATCAAGCAACTAAAAGATACAACAACAAAAAAAGAAAAGAAAACAAAAACCCTTGGGTTTTTCCCGCGGGCTTGCTTCTTGCCTGGTAGGCCGTATAGCCCACCGCCGCCAACAAGGCCAGAAACAAGCCCCCGAGGTGGGCGAAGTGGGAGTCCGGGCCTCAAAACCCAGCGTGCGCTTCTCGCCAGGGTTTTTGTCGTGGGGTACCATGGGGGTAAGGCTGTTCCGGTCCGGTGGTGGCTGTTGGAAGATACCTGAAAAACGTCAGGTTCCGTTGCAGGTGGTCGTTGGGTATACCTAGAAAACGTCATATGTGCCAGAAGAAGTCGGTTCGGTCCGCCGGTTTTCGTGTTTTTGGTCATGGTCATGCTTCAGCCAACTGTTACAATGGAAAATGATGTCGGATTTGAGTGTATTTTGTTTCCATGGTACCCCTCTCCAAGGTTGTTTTTGTTTTGCCTCACCCGTGGCGAAGCCCTAGCTTCACGTGCCTCTGAGGGGTGCCCTTCTTGTGTCCACCTAACCTCAACCGCCTGGGTCACTTAAGCAATGGGCCTTTCCCAAACATGGCGAGATCTTTAAGCTTGAAAGCTCCGGAAGAAAAATCGATCCACCCGCAAAACCGAAAACTTCAGCCCTTGGAGTTTTGGGGCGATTTCACTTGGGCCGGTGTCTTCCGATTCATTTGGCAATCTGCTCACAACTGCAAAAAAAACATCCAGAGGCAATCCTCGCCTCTCTCACCAACCAGAGGACTCGCCACAACAAAGTCGCCAACCTGTTTCTTCGCGACTCAACAAATTTGGGGCCGGAGCCCCAAAACGCGCCTCGCGAAAATCCGAACCGGAAAACTCGTTGGACGTGGAGACTCTGCTCCCAAACCCCCACCGACCCATCACTCCCGAAAACCTCGCTCGCGCAGGCGGCGGCCGAGGCCCGCGGCCCGGCTTGGTGCCGCTGGCCAGGAAGGAGCCTGCCCAAACGGCTCTCGCGGAGAGTCGTTTCAGGCGAAGACGCCCCAAAAAAAAGCTTGCATCTAATTTCTTATTGTTAAAAAAACAAAATGTTTTTGTGAGGGTTCTCCTTTTTGGGCTTTGTTCTAGAAACACCGAAATGCGACCTTCTTGGGTTGGCTTTCAGATTGGCTAAGAGGAATCACCCCCACATATTGAAAAACACCCGAGCTACGCTCGTGGGACGTGACTGGAGCACCCTGTGCGTCCCATGGGAGGTCGGGAGGCCAATCCAATTTCCATCCCTAAGAAAGGTCCAAAGGACAAAAAATCACTTCGAACCGAACAGAATACTCGCCACATGAAACCAATAGGGATCTTCATTCACGGCGCAAGAACAACAGGCAATTCATTGACGAAGAACTTGTCTAACAGAACCCATCGGTTGAAGGATCAGTCCCACACTTCCCTGCCAGAAGTAGACAACGAGGGTGTGGAGTTGTAAGAAATAAGTCATGGACAAGAGAGAAACACAAGCTCGAGACACACGGTGAACAAATGAGGAACACCAACAAAAAAAGGCGCCGCGAGCAAAAAAAAGATGTGCCAGGTGCTTGTCTCGTGTTATTTTCTTGGAATGAAACGTCCGCAAACGTTCCGCGAAGCGAAGCGCGACGCGACTGCCTGTCAGCGCCAGCACCACCCCCACGACACGGTCACCCGACACAGCCTCGCGGGAGAGGCCCAAGCTTGAAGTCGAGCGAGCGAAATCGATAGGATCCGAACCGTTCTCTGAACTTCCCCAAAAAATAAACGCTTGTGAGCCTACTTGGGGGGGGGGGGGGGGGGGGGGTGATTTTTGTTCTTTCTCCTTTTTCTTGTTCTTGTTTCTTTCTTTTTTTTGGGGGGGGGCTGGCGATCCTGCCCAATCTATGCGTTTCCCGCGATGGACGTAGGCAATTCAGAGATTTCCCCAACTGTTTGTGGGACATTGAGCGAGTCCCCCCATGTCGCCTAGTTGTACTGAACAGTTTGACCGGACCTCACGCGCTTGAAAAAAAAGAACGAAAGGCTCTGCAGTCACAACGAAAGCCTGGTATTCAAATGGTCTACCCAGAACCAGGGAAAGAATGAACAAGGCGGCGGCACTCATTGATGATTGGGACTCTCCCTTGCCAACCTTCATCTACCCGGGTTTTGATTCATGTTGAGAAGTCATCCTGAAAATCTGGACCCCCCCCTTCGCGCCCCATCACAGGTACGGCAAGTACCCCAAAGGCAGGCCCAACCCACCGTCGTGAGGCTGCGAGCGGGTTTTTCCTGCTGCTGACTGTGCCCTCAGAAATAGATAGGTTTGCCTCAAATTGAACCCCAAAGTTGTGGGCTTCCTTTCGGTTTGAAAATGACCCCAGAAGGTCCCTCAAAAACTGGCACCACACCCACGTGCATAATGGACCTGGCTTGTCCAAGCATCGCTGGGCAGCTGGAACAGCCGTCACATTCCGAAGAGAACGATGGGTGGAGAATGGAAATGAAGTTCACCCGGAGAATAGCAGGGAAGTCACGTTCGAAACCTCGGTTGCTTTCTGCTCCCCTGCTAAAAGTTTAGCTTTTAGTGGTTTAATGGAAAGCGCATTAGTTGGCAAAAAGCTAAAGTCCTAACATCCAAGCAACATGCACCAAAGAAATAATATCCATGTGGTTCAACTGACGCATGTTGCTGGACAAGGGCCAATCCGACCTCGTCTATCCGTCGTCCGATCACATGCGCCGATGCATTCCCCCTAAACATTACCCCACAAGGAAGCTCACTTTACATTGGCCGGTTGAAAAATCGCGTCTGCCTGCAAAGGGGTGAAGATCTGGCTGTGGGTCAAAACCAATAGGATCCCATTTTGTGGTAGGTGCACCACCCATTTTGGAACCTATTTTGGTGGGGATCGGTTGATGTTCACCGGGGGTACGATTTGGCTTTTGACTCATGGACATCCAGGGAACCCGGTCAAGGTCGGCTTTTGAAACATTGAGGAACAAACCCGCGAACCCGCGAGCCACGTCCGAGAAACCAAGCCCAAAGCTGCCTTTTCCTTGGCTCTCAGGGAAGCAACAGAACTGAATGGATAATGAATCCTTCAAGGACAAGGGAATGGATCATTGAGGTGAGAACCTCCTGTACTGATTCCCCTGAAAAATGCCAAAACAAGCGCCATGGTTCTTAGGTGCTGCGAGTTCTGGATTTTCGCCCTTCAAGGACACTTTCTTTTTAGGGAATGGATCATTGAGTCGTGATTCCCGCATCTGTTGAGACCCACCAAACGCTCCTCACAGGTTCTCCACTCAGCCCTCCAGCCCACATTCCCTGAGACCCACCAAAAGCTCCTCAAGGGTTCTCCACTCAGCCCCCCATAGCCTTCGGGAAACCCGGACCCTTTCCACGGGATCCCAAAAATTGGCCCCAGGCCCTCGCCCTCGCCCCGGCGCGAAAGCGTCAACGCCGTCGCCTCGCCAAAGAGCTGCACGCTGCAGATGTAGACCAACGCCTCGGAAGAAGGACAACGATGGCGGACAGGGGGGGTCTTTTTGCCACCTTTTGTGAGAAAATGGGCGACCCCCTCAAAAGGAATCCTTCACTACAAGGGGGTCCAAAAAAAAAACCGAGATGGCGGAGCGGTGCGGTGGGAAGGCGAAAACCCGATCCGAACCGCACGGCCTCCGAAAGAAAGAAAAAAACTCCGCGAAGCGTCCCCAAAACTTTCAGCCAGCCCCAGAAAACGCCAGCGAAACCCCAACCTCCGAAAACCCCCTCCAAAACCCCAGAAACCCTCCAAAAGATACCTCCAAAAACAACCGGCTCCACCTCCGAAAAAAAGAAAAGCCTCCGAACACAAAGACGGGGCTCCACCTCCGAAAAAAGCCGACCCCTCCCGGCCCGTCCCTCCCAAGGCCGGGCCAAGCGGCCACGGAGGTCTGGAACACCGCGTTGGTGAGGCTCAGCTCCACCAGCGCGGCGCTGCTCAGCCAGGCGTAGTTGTAGCCCATCAGCACCAGGGCCTTTGGGGAGATAAGGGCTGGACCAGCTCCAGATTTGAGAGGCTAGAATAAGCGCACCATTTTTTTTTTCGGTTTTGTCCATTTTAGGGGAACCCTCCCGCAAAAAAGGGTGAGACTGGGCACTACTGGGGGACCTAGGCGGACAGGGAACCTTACATTATACACCTGAGCATTGCCTTGTAAATGGCGGTTTCCCTTTAGTTTGGTGGAACAAGCCATGTTTCAAATAATTGCAAAATGTATCTGTTAAGGAGCCCTGCATTCATTTGCTGGTGGAAGAAATGAGTGGCGAGAGTGAGAGATCTCTCATGGACTCGCCACTTGCTTCCCGCCGTTTTTGGGCGGGGGTCCCGGATGGTTGGAGGGGAGGGTACGAGCGGGGTTCTGCACAGACCTGAACAAGTTCGGGGGGCACCCCGCTTCTTTGGGTCAAACCAGGGCCTAAGGAAACCCGAACCTCCGTCTGTCCGGATTTTTGAGTGGGTAGCCCCCTTTTTTGGTGGTGATTGAATGGAAATCCCATGACCACCCCACCCCCCACTTTACTTGTTTAATGTTGCTACCCCTTCTTCGGGTGGTTGTTGAATGGACATGTTATGAAAATCCCACGAAAACAGATGGTTCACTGGAAAAAAAAACCTAGGTTGATCAATATGCTGGTGATTTCTACGAGAACGGCCACTTTGGGATGTTCCAAAGCGGGAATGGAAGAAACCCTGGAAAGCCCAACTGAAAGGCCAATCTTTTCGGGCTCCATTGTTGGAAAGCTTCTCTAACTGGCGGCTTGGATGTTTTTTCCAACTCCCCCGAGGTGTCACGTAAGCCCAAAAACATGTCCCTTTCATCATCCACTGGGGGTTCAAGTCAAAAAATGGAACCTGCCAAGATCCATCCTGAGCATCCGAAGCCGTGCAAGTCCAGTGTCGCGGCGGAAAGTGCCAGGCTTCGGTTTCGCAGCTCCCGGACGGGTTTGACGGTTTTGCGTCTCTGGGTTTCATCCCATGGCCCAATCTGGGGTCCGGAAATTGTGTCAATGGCAGGGAGAAACAACGCTGCAAAAATCGGCCCCTTGATTGGTGCCTTCTTTGGGGGCACCTTTTTCGTACAAACATGGGTTGCGCGGATTGCTCTGTTGGTGGAACCAGATATAACACCCATATGGAGAATCCAGGGTTGCCCATGCAGAAGCTATTGGGATTGAAGCAGCAAACATAGAACGGTATAATCCCACATCACTGAGGCGCGGTTCCGTTCACGAGTAATCGTAGCGGCCAACGTCTTGCGCGATTACTGGTTGCAATCCGGCTCAAGCCACTCAATAGCTTCGGCACAACACAAAGCTGTTGCAAACATGCGAGTTTTAGCTGACTATCCGCCAAGGCATGTCGCAGACAGTTTGCCTCAATTGCACGGCATCAAAGTTGAAGTTGGTGCAAAACTGCAACAAAGAAGGGGGAACATACCAGAGCAAAGACATGCGGTGGCACTGGTTCAGTGGCAATGAGCCCCGAAGATTTGCCATTTCTCTGCTCACACACACACACACACACACCTTCAGTAACTTGATTCCGCTCTGGAAAACCGAGCACCATTCAAGCCACAAGGCAAATCCTCCGCACAGCTCCAACCAAGTAATGAAACAACAAGAGAATGTCCAGCAGGAAGCCTTTGCGCGGCTCCTGTGCCACTGGTGGCACAGTCCCAGGACCGAAGAAGCTGGAAAGCTTTGCAGGTGCTACCAAGCTTTTGGACCATCAACGTGACAAGCACCACGTTTAGACGAAAGAACTGGTAGCCTTTTGGGGCAAGCCCAAAAGATGTTTATTTGAAACAAGGGTAAGTGTTTTGCCTGGCTCTGAGTCAATCTCAGATCCGCACACCAAGACGCCAGGCGATCCACGCAATTGTGTTCGCTCCGCACATGGACACTTCTTGGGGAAGAGTCCCAGGCGATCCACAATCCACGCCCTCTGTCCGAGGAGCAAAGAGCAGCGCCCAAAGCTCCACGTGGGCGGCTCGCTTAGCGCTTGGCTCCTTGGGTTCCTGCCAAGGAGAAGCCAAAAAGGGAGCGCCTTCCAGCAGTTCTCGGGGGGTGGGGCAAGGAGGGTTATGGGAGGGAGGGTAGAGAAAAAAGACGGACTGGTTTGGATGAGTTTTTTTGGGTTGGTTTGGAGGTCCGACCGTAGCGTCCTTTGCTTGGCTTCCAAGGAGAAGGGCGTCGAATCCAAGTCGGGCAAGGCAAAACCCCAGCGTCCCGGCGAAAAAGACTGATTCGCTTCCATGGGAAAGATGTTCTGGATCCTAACCTTGGTCTCACCTGGTGCAAAACCAGCCGTTCCCGATGCTTTTTCTGGACGGAATGACTTGATTGGTCAGAAGGCCGCGAGGGCGGCACGAAACCCGGAAGCCAACGCTTTTCTGGGCTTCTTCTTTTGGTGTCACCCAATTCGTCGACCTCCAAACGAGCAATTTCTCCGCTGGAGCAGCCGCCCTTCCAACGTCCAAGTCAAGGGTGCCTTGGCTATTTGCACTGCATTGGAACAAAAGCAAAGCAGTCACAGGGTCGAAGCTTTTTGGCATGTCACGAAAACTGGTTTGATTTTGGCCCTCATGGCCCAAACAGCTCTCTGACCCCTCCAACTTGATGGTGGCAAAGCTTTCGGGGGATTCCGAGCAGCTTTGGTTTGCTCTCCCAGTTCAACATGGACCCCCAAAACCCACCATGCTTAGAGGGGGTTCCCCTCTTTTTGCGGGAAACCAAACTTCATCAAGCTCGGCTAACCCGAACGGAATGGTTCAGTATCTGATCATCCCCCTCCAACAACGCCAAAGACTCAGTGGCCAAGAAGAATCCGCCGTCGCTCCTTCGCGCACCCGAAGTGCGGCACCAGCCTTGGAGCTTGACGCGACGGAAACGACGGAAACGACGGCTGCCCATTCTCACGGAAAGAAGCGAAACCGCGGAGTCTTTGCCGCGGCAAGTCTTGCTCTGGTACAAAAATGCAAGGGAATCCTCTTGTTTCTTGCGATCACCCCGAGTCATCCTCCGCACACAATATATTGTGGTTCTCTGATGCCAAAAAGCCCGGCCCAGAAATGTCGTGATGGGAACCTTCATGGGTGAGATGTGAATACTAAGGGACAAAACAAGGATGTGTCTTTCTTTAGCCGACCCCTTAAATTTGTGGTTTTCCGTTCAGTTTCCCTGCAAACCATAAGGTGGTGCCGTGATACCCACACAAAAAAGACGCCGCAACAAGTCACTTGGCCATCAACTAAGACAATCGCACTGGGATACAAATGGTGTTTATGGTTCCCATCCCCATCCCCATCCCCCCCATCCCCCCCCCCCCCCACCCCCCTCCCAGATCAGGGGCCCCGAACCGCCTACCCCCCTCCAGGGCCCCCGGCAGCAGGCCCCCGAGGTGGCAGAAGACCAGATTCAGCAGCGGCGACGCGTGGCCGCCCTCTCCGTTGCGCTGCAGCGCCTTCGGCTTGGAGCTGAGCAAAGTTGCGGGATCACTCGGGGTGCATCCCACCACTTCTGTGATACAAGTTGGGAATCCCCTGTTTATATCGGGGGTTGGTCTTTGGAAGGCCCTCCTATCACAGATTCGTGGAGTCCATTTCAACAGCCCGAAGGAATCTGAGGGAGCTGAAGGGTTGGTCTCGAGTCGAGGCCGCGAGGCCAAAAAGTTGGTGCCGCGGGGTGTTTTTTCTGCTTGCCATGGGATATTCTAGGGGTGAAAATTCAAAATCCCCAATTCCCCATGTTGAAGCTTCCAGCCATGTGTTTTTTTTGTTGGTCAAATTCCCCCCTGCCCCAAATCCCCATGAAGGGGATGGTGGCATAAAAGTACTTGGAAGCGCGTTGCCAAGTTCGGTGGTCAGCCAACCCGCTAGCGGGGCTAATTCCACTTGGGACTTTGAGTGGGGTACTATCGAACGGTTAGCGTTGCAACTTACTAACTTGGCGAATCGAACACCCAAGAAAACAATCCTCCGGAGTTTCAACACACCGCTTTCCTCGGTTCACTGGCGCGAAATGAATTCCGAAGACTGCCGAACTCTGAATTACAGCCGCTTGCTGAGCGCAGTTCCCCGCCATGCTGAACTGATCCCACGGAAAGCAAGCTTCCGCTGAAACGCCCTGGTCGCTTGACAGGGCCAGAAAAAAGACAGTCGGAATGCACGTCCCGAGCACACTCCCAAGACATCAACAGCTGCATGCCACGCTGTTGGTGCCTCCCCGTGACGACGTAAACCTCATCTACGGTCAAGTCAATGGAATGGTGCCCCGCAATCAGGGCAGTTGCGGAGCATGCAGTGCACCAACTGTAATTACCTTTGCTCAATCCCTCCGAGAAAGCATCAATATGTCCGGTACTCCAGGCCGGACACAGAGAGAGAGAGAGAGAAAAGAGAGAGGGAGGGAGAGGGAGGGAGGGAGGGAGGGAGGGAGGGAGGGAGGGCGAGAGGGAGGCAGGGAGGGAGGGAGGGAGGGAGAGAGAGAGGCGGAGAGCCCGACACGTCTTTCGCCGCATCCTAACGAAGAAAGGGCTGTCAAGAAGTCAGCAGGCCTTAAGCGCACCAGGCAGGGCATGGGCTGCTCGTGCGGATACTCATAACGATTTGCTGATCGAATGGGGAGGGTCACTGGGGCAGCAAACAGTTGAGAGCAAGTTCCGCGAGAGCTATGCCTGCGGAAGAGGACTCCGTTCCTGCGCCAGGAGCGATGCCTCACTCATGGCCACGGTAAGAGAAGCGCATTTAGGATCCTCTGCCTTTCCTGTTCCAGTCCTCTTCCTTTCCTGTCTGTTCCTCGGTCTCTCCGCACCATAGCTGAAATGACATCTCTGACCCCCCCAATGACTACTCATGATTTGACTTCAAAGATGGTTTCCGTTGGTATCACTGAAAGTGGTGACCTCAATTTTCCACATCATGTGATCCAGGATTTTTCATAGATCACTGGTTGTTTTTGTTTGGGGGTGTTCCGGTTTTGGAGGGGATCCGGCTCACTTCTGGGAAGGAACTTGTGTTGGTTTATCAGGGTGGGCAATACAGCTTTATGGCGAATGGTCTCTACCCAAGCAACTCACACGTTGTTGCCGTCCTCAACCGGCCTTTTTGGTTTCTGAGTAAATCGGGGTCAGCAATACATGCGCCATGGTTAAAACTCCCTATGTGGGCATTGTGGGGGGGGGGGGGGCGCCCTTTACGCTTGTCTCGTCTCTCCGAGGTTGATGATTGATGATCATCCGTACCATCCCCCAAGGGTCCTTTCACCAAAGGCATGGGAGTGTGATTGAATTTGGCCATGGGAAAAAACCCACATCGCACCCCCAGCGAAGATCCCAATCCCCACTAAAATAGGTTCTAAAATGAGTGGTGAATTCACCTACCAACCAAAATGGGATCCCAAAACGGCTTTGACCCACAGCCACTTGTTTTAAAGGGCCCCCAAAAGGAAAACCGCCGGTTGGGGGGGGGGGGGGGGTAAAATCGCGCTTCACGCCTGCAGAAGCTCGCCTCGGCTCGCCAAAAAGAAAAAGGCGACCGATGCTCGAGCGGTCCAAGCGAATCCAAAGAACACAAAGACCCTCTGTCCACCAACATGGCACCACAGCGGGTCCCTCCAGGAGGAAACTGGGCGTGGGAGGAAGGGTTAGTAAGGTGTCCTTCTTGTTAAAGTACCTCAGGATAGCTGAGGTGACAAATGTCCTCGTGCAGAAAATGTTGTTGCCCGAGCCACGTCGAGGGTGATGGTTCTTTCGGATGCCACGGACCCCGAAGACCAAAAAGCTGGAGCCACGCAGAACCGGGCAACCTCTTGCCCCATGGATGGCAACTCCCAGCCCTGGCACCGGGTTTCTTCTTGTATAAACTTGGGGGGGGGTTCACATGGGTTTGTCCCAAAGAGTTGGACCACCACCCCCCCAAAAAAGAATGCTCCTCGGATGGTTGGGTTCCAACTTGTAAAACCAGCCGAAAAGGTGCCCTCAAAAAACAAACCACACCTTCTATTGCTCAACTCCCCCAGAAAAAGAAAAAAAGAAGAAAAACATGTAGTGACAGAGTCCCTTTAACAAGAAGGAAGGGACATACAAAGCCATGAGCGTGCCGTTTTTTGGGTCCTGTTGGCTTCTCGTTCAAAAGGTACCAAATCAAAAAAAAACAAAGCGAGCCATGTCCCAAACCCCGAGTGCTGCTAAAACAAGGGAAATTGTGGTACCTTCTCAGGCTGGTTTAATCCAAAACGCTCCCAAACTTGTTGTTTACCACTCTGGGGGTGGTTTCAAAGGGAAGCCCCAAGAGGAAATCACTCGTTTTGGAGCTTCCCCTAGACAAAACATGGACTCGGAGACCGAGACGCCATTGAGGCAGAACAGCACGCAGCTGCCCAGAGCCGCCCCGTAGGCCCACACATCCGTCCGCATCGCCTACGCATGCGAAGGGCTGGGTGACAGGGTGCCCAGCAAATCCGCACAGGTGAGCACTGTGGGAGAAAAAAAAAAAAAAAGGCCATTCTCCTGGACATAGGTGTCCTTTTAGGGGAAATAGATGACCCTGGTAGATGACTAAACCATCAGTTAAACCAGGGCCATCTATTTTTGAAGCAAAACAACCAAAAAGGACACCTATGCTCTTGGACCTTACCCTCCCAGCCTTTTCGACATGGAACCTGGCGTTTGGAACTGCCTTGGGACAGTTGTCTTCCAGGACCCCCCCGAACGTCAGCTTCCGTCTGAAAAAGGGGCGGGGGAAAGGGTAGTTCCATCGGTCACCTAAGTCCTTAAGCAGATCAAGCCACAGGGCACCTTTTGGGGGAAAAAAAAGATGGCCCTGGCATATGGTTCATAAAACCCGTGGAAACCAGCCAAACCCACCAGTCAAACCCATAGATGCTGGACCAAACTAACCTAACAAGCACACCTACGGCCCTGCAGATTCCTTCGAGGGGGGTCTGACACATCACACCGCAAAGCTGAAGATCAGAAGATTGGCTTGGCTTTCACATGGAACCCACATCCATTCGCGAATACGTCCCCCGAAGAAGAAAAAAAGGAGAGACAAAGCACATATGTCCAGTCGTGAACGATTCCCGGGCCTGGAGAGCCAAGTTGCTGCTTTTTGCAGTTAGTGTTCCTGGTTTTTGGGGTAAAGTGGATGTAAAAAAGCAACTGGAGGGGAAATCAAACAGACCTTTGCTTCAGCAAGTGGAAGGCATGACAACCCAGATTCCTTGCGCCATGGGCCCTTTGAGGTTTCTTGGGTCATTTCTGGCTCCCCGGCCACCCGCCCTGCCTCACGGCAGTGGCGAAGCCATGGTGCAAATTGGGTGTCTCCCGAAGAAATGGACCATAATGTGTTTGGACCCTCAAAAGATGCTTGGCAAACAGAAGTTGCAAAAAAACAAGTAAAGAGTTGGAAGCGTACTGGTGGAGAACAGCGCCCTCTGGTTGTTCAATTTCATTGCGCCGTCAGAGGGGCTGAAGCCAGCTCGGATCGGCAGGGCATCCAAATCAGTTGTCGTCTTCTCTCTCTTTTCGATGGAAAGGGCGAAGGCATTGCGCCGATCACCAGGAGCCGGGCTCCCGGCTCCATCGAGTCGAGAAACTTGCGGACATCTCGAGTAGGTTCATCTCGCCCCTCTGTGCTTCAGCGCAGCCACACTCTGCTTGGGTGGGGGGGGTTTTCTTTGGTGCCTTGAAAGGATCAAACAAAACAATAAGCCTTGCGGCAGCCTTGCGGACTACTGACAAAATCCGCCAGGCACGTGGTTTGTCCAAGGTCCATCCATCCAAGTGCAAGATGGTTTCAGTCCGGATCAAGTGTGGTCACTGCTCACTGGGAATCCTCACTGGGAATCTTCACTGGGAATCGATTCCTGAGTTCCTGAGCGCCGGAGAACCCAAACAGAAGAAAAACATTCATGTGTCTTGCCCCCCTTTTAATCGGAGCTAACGGTAAATCGGCTTTGGGGGCCATATCCGAAAGCCAAACTCTGGTTGAAATTCGAATATCCTGCAAGCCATCTTAGCACTTTTCCTGCCCAAGCAAACCAAACCAAACGTGGTCTATTGTAGTCTTTCCAAGGGGTGGTTTTGAGGGGCCTGTCTGGAGAGTCGGGTGTGAATCTTCCTGAAGTCCCTTGAAGATCACATCCTCTTAAACATGCTTTGTGAGGGGATCAACGGGAGACCAAAAGAAAAACCGAACCCATATTGGAGAACACCCAAAATTTTGCACATACGGCTGAACAGGGTGCAAGCCGCTGTTGTTCATTTCACCATAGCCACGGCTCTTCTATCTCTGCTAGCTGGGGCGCGTTCCGGCGCTTCACGTGTTCCAGCGCCCCAAATTTTGAAAGAGCCCTCGCCACGCATCCCATCTTGGCTACTGAGCAGAAGGCAGTACACATGCTCAAGAGAGAATAGTGCGCTACCTGAAGAGCGAATCATGACCACAAGGCGACACGTAGCAAAGCCTCTTTGGGCCGCCCTCGTCGGCGAGCCCATGACGAGGCGTGTGGCAATGGTGGCAAAGAACCCTGGACCATTTGTCGGGGATGCAGCGCAGCATGTCTGGCAGCGCTTCGAAAGCGTGTTGCGGTACGGCTGATCCCATGTTTCTTCGCGTGTGCAAACCTGGTCCTTGTTGCCCTTGTTCTGGTGAAATGCCTTCTTGCATCTTAACATTGAACCAAGCCAATCCCATCATTTTCATAGGTGACCTTTGGCAAAAAAATAGATGGCCCCGGTAAATGGAATAACACCAATCCAAACCAGTGCCGTCAATGTCTAGGCAAACTAACCTCAAGAAAGACACCTCGATTATTCTTGCAGGAATCCAACCGTGTGGGGCACCCCTTCTGGGGGAAATCCACGTTAAACAGGGACAACTCTCCAGCAAATCCCCGGACCCGAATTTGGATCCTCTGCCACAGTGAAACCGGGAGGCCCGGGCAAGCTGACGGGTGCTTTGGGGAAACCCCGCGGATTTATTCAAGAGGCTCCCACAGGGGGAAGCATTTCTCTAACAGAAACAAGCGAAACAAACAAGAGAGCCCCAAGTTGCGGAAAGAATCCTCACTTTCAAGCAACTACTCGCTGAAAGAAGAAGTGCCGTTGCCTCGCTTGTCGGGAGATGAGAACTCACGCTCGAGACTCGTGCTCGAGACACTCGAGCCTGAGCATGCCTAAAGGGGTGTGCGTCATACCAGGCCCCACTCGTAAAATGGGCGGCTTGCCTTTTGGCTGCCCTTTCAAAGCTGGCTCACCTCGCCCCTGTTTGCTGGCTTGGTGTTGTTTGGACGTAGGGAAATACCTTCCCCACTTGGAGCTGGGGTTCAAGCCCCCTCAAGCCACCCCTTTTTTTACACCAATGAGGTGACCTGTGCCTTTACTGGTGGGCTAAAAGAATCAAACACACCCAAAACGAAGCTTTAACAGCCATCTGGCTCTCAGTAGATGACTTCCGGCCCGGCTCGGGCTTTAAGCGTGTACAGCAATAGCTCCGTCGGCACCTGGAGCCATTGATGAGCCGAGGATCTTCGGCCCGAAAAGACACACACGAGGCCTCAGCAGATTTCGCGACACACGCGTATCGGATATATATATATATATATATATATATATTTGCGCAACCGTCCATATCAAAATGCCCATTTGCCCTGCGTTGAGGCCAAAGCCACAACGTGACCGCAGGTTCCGTCCGATAAGAAAAAAAAAAAAAAAACCCCCCCCCCCCCCCCCCCCCCCCTGCCTCTCTGAGCCAATCCTGGGACAGGGAGTAGCCCTCCTGCGTGAGGAAATGCTCTGGCTCCGCCTGATGTGTCCATGCAACTCGGCCACAGCCGTGTGCGCAGAATGAAAACATGTGGAGAGAATAGGCGAGGATGATGAGACTTCTTGGCCCCGGAGACCTCTTGGCCCAAATTTGTTCTGAGGCGGTTCTGAGGAGAGTTTCGGTCGGCTCTGAGGCGGTTCTGAGGCGGTTCTGAGGCGGTTCTGAGGCGGTTCTGAGGCGTTTTTCGGTCGGTTCTGAGGCGGTTCTGAGAGTCCCTTCCAGGCGCCAATCGATTCGGTTTGAAGGGGAGGAGGAAGCCCGGTGGGATGGCCCTCTTGCGAGGTTCTCAGTCTCGGGGCAGGGCTTGGACTCTGCCGAAACGCCGAAAGAAGAAGAAGAAAAAAAACGGAACTCTCCCCACCTTTTGAGCCGATCCGATTTGTAGCTATGGAGGGAAGCTAAGATGAAAGCGAAGATGACGCTCAAAGGTTGGGCGCAAGGGCAAGTCGGGCGTGGAAGGTTCCAGTGCGGAAGGCTGATGTTCTCGTGGAAAAAAAGCGGAAGCTGAGGTGGATTTGAGCTGGATTTGAGTTGTTCAATTTTGCCGGCTGCTTATATTTCCAACATTCACCCAAGCAAGAGGACACTTACTCTGAAATGGCCCAAAAACAATTTTCAGAATTACTTGTTAGCAGGAATTCCAGGAACCCTTGCTTCTTTGGCCGGGATGTTCAACTCGTTTCGGATTGGGGCACTTTGGGGGGTGATTCTCCAGGTTTCTGTTACACCCCTTTCCTGCAGAGACTTCAAGCAAGCGTAGTCTTCAAAAGCACCGTGGGTAGCATCTGCTGGCTGATTGCTGCTCGCCAGACAAACCGATGGATGCCACCGGTAAACAGTTAGAACTGCACTGAATTTCCACTGGCCCCATGTTTTGCTGCCAATCAAAGTCACCCCCCCAAGTGGTGGCTTAAAGGGAACAACCAACCAGTTCCTGACGCATACCCGCAGCCAAACTAGTGATCCCGGCAAGATCTGCTTCGCACCAGGGATGAATCAAGGAGCAGCTCGCATGGGAACCGGCATAGCCCACGGCGACCCGGCGAGGTGAAAAACACCGGAACATGAGCTGCCTGGTATAGTCATGTTCCGCGATGGTTAAAAAAAAAAAGGAACACTTTTTCAGCCGCAGGTCAAAGCAATAAGATGGCTAGGTGTTCTCCCTCATCAAATCTGATGGCTCCAAGGCCATTCCTCGCCCTCGCTCATCCGGAATTGAGTGCCAGGGGACATACCACCCTTTAAGGGGCCGGAAGCCGGCCCCAACATGTCCTCCATGTGGCTTTGAAGGAGCGCAAATCACCTCTTAAATTTTCCTCGCAGAGAATTGAGTGACCCAAAGTCACCATGCTTCCCTTGGGGTTTGCCAGCAAGAGATCCGTTACATGTGGTTTTTGGCTTGCATTTGCGGTAGAATCTCACACATCATTTGGTTTGCTTCCATTTGGTGCCCACTTTGGACTCCATAGGGCCCATTGGCCTCCATCCAGAGCGATGCTTGCAATAATTCCAGGGGCACCTTCCCCCATCCTTCTTTATCCTTCTTTCTAAAAGACCACCAAAAACCCTGGGGAAACAGCTGGTTTTTGAACATAACGATGTTTAAAAGAATGGCAAAGGAAGCAACCACCCTAGAAGAATCTTCTCCTTTGGAATCATTCCAAGGAAACCACATGCATTGCAGGATGGCGATGGTAGGTGCTGGATGACCAAGCTCATGGGTTGCCAATATGGGCTATCGGTAGAGAAAAACCTGATGCGCACGAACCCGAATCCATGCAACTCGACAGTCCAATGCCCTCGAGGATTTTTGAGAACACATGAGTCATACTCAAAACCCGGTAAAAAAAACCATGCTTCAAGAATCAAGAAGGCGGATATCCGCAGCTATTTATGGCAAGGATTCGGATTGTTTTTTACGAACCTTCATCTCCCCGAATCGGTTTTGAGCACGTGGCTCACATCGTCAAAGCCAACTTGACCAAAAATCCTGGGCCGCCCTTCCGAGCCCAGCCTCAGCCTCTGGAAGCTCCCCGGGGAGATTTTCCGGCAGCCGGACGTCCGCCTGCACCCCGCTTGTTGAAAACCTGCCTGGTTTCTTTGGAGTACGTATTTATGGTATGTAAAAATGACACATGTATATATGTATGTGTGTATAAATGAATATATATATATATACATGCGCGTATATGTATACATGAATAAATGAACACATGTATACGTGAATGTGTGCATTAGTTGTATCTGTGTAAATAGATATGTGTGTGTGTACAAATGTATAATGTACATATGCATGTGTACACCTGTAAACGTGAAGCATGTCTTTCTGTATGTATCTAAAAATGTACATGTGTACATGTGTGGAGATACATATATGTATACATACATTGGTGTATATATATATATATTATTGGTATGTGTATACATATACATATATATATATATACATTCAGACATGTATGTATCTGCGTGTTTGTGGATGTACGCACGTATGTACGTATGTGCCTGGCTAGATGGATGTATGTATGACTGTATGTTTGTATGGTTTTATGTTTGTATGTTTGTATGTTTGTGTGTTTGTATGTTTGTATGTATGCTTGTGTGTTTGTATGTTCGTATGTCAATGGATGAATGGATGGATGGATGGATGGATGGATGGATGGACAGATGGATGAAGTCGTCAGCCGGACTCGACCTTTCAACCGTCATGTGGAATGTGTCAAAGAAGGGGACACAAAAAATGGCTGGTCTAGGGTACCCTCAAAAAGCACGCCCACGTCCTCCAGTCTTACCCCGTCCAGCCAGGTCTCAATCTCTGCTCTTGTGTGTTGCTGATTGATAAAATGGACGGACGGACAGACAGATGTGTGTCTACACATGTCTCACATGTAATCTGTGCTTACAAAATGCAAAAAAAAACCTGGGGGTGGGGAGTGCGAGAGGGCGGCGGCGAGTCATTGATCTTGCAGCCTGCTCTACCCTTTGCGTTTGCCAGGCGTGCCCGTACGGCCTGGGACAGCAAATCAAGGACCCGAGTTCGGAGCTTGAGGCAATTGCAACTAGGAAGGCTCCACATATATTGGTTTAGTTTTTAGATGGGAAGAAGCTTTCGAAGCAGACTTCACAATTTTCCTGTGCTAGCCGAACCAAACCAACCCTTAAGCGGTCCTGGGGCACGCCCAGTCCAAATGGCTTGTTACTCTTGGTTCCTTTCAAGCATTGAAAAGGGGGCTCAATTTGAAGACAATTTTGGTTGGACAGCTTCGGGTGATCCTACCTTTTAAAGTAGTCCCAAAAGGTGTTCAAGCCAAAAGGATAAATGTCGGTTTGTCTTTATTTGGCGAACCCTCTTTTGGTTGGTTTTGAAGGGAAACCAAAAGCAAAACCGCTCATGGTGAGGTTCCCCAAACAAACGATACACCCATGTAGGGGACCCTGAAACCGGGCGAGGTTTCCCTTTGATCGACCTAGGGGACTTTGATGACGCCCATGTGACCCGATGGGTCACCCACTTTGATAGGTGGCATCATGTTTGGTTTCCCGGCAAACCCCACCAGCCGGGGCCACCCTTAAGAAAGACAAACACAAATCAAGAGTTGCTTGGTATTTGTAGGATTTCAAGATGGGTGTCTTCCCAGTTTGGGCCAAGAGTCGGGGAACGTTTGGAAGCCCCTTTTCGGAAGCAAGCCCCCATTTCTTCACCCTCGAAATTCCCATTGCAGGCACTTAGGCGCTGGGAAAATACCCCCCCAAAAAAAAAAAATACTCTGTCGCGATGACTCGCTCAAGCTCGCCCTCTAGCATGGGGCTTCCACCAAAAACCGCCCCGGGTCGCCCCGTTTCGCCCCGTTTGGAGCCGCAAATGCCCTGCCCAACCCCCCTTTCTACCAGTTTGAAGCAAAACCAAATGGATTCCACCTTGAGGGGTAGGGGGGAACCCCGGATGAAGTTAAGCAGCTTGATTTTGAGAGACGGGTGGCCAGAAGAAACTACGAATCAGTTTTCCAAGGTGCCTATTAAACCGAGCTTCGAATCCAAAGGCTTCCCAGCTCTCAAACAAGGACCCAAGGGCGATGCATCCATCTGAAAAAGCCAAACCAAAAATCGATCTTCGCGCGGTGAAGAACGATGTTTCGAGTTGTTTGCCATTTACTCCCTAGAACCAGGGGTTCAAACATCCAAATCCAAACCACCAACAGGTCAACTAAGGGTTACCTGACGAAGTGCTGATAAACAGGAGAAAAACACCCTCCGATTTTCCAGGCTTGTTTGACTGTTGGGTTCTGCTTGTGCTGGGTTTAGAGTTTGGGGTTTTGGGTTTCGGGTTGAGGGTTGGGTCGACCGGACCAGCATCGGAGGAAGAAGAAAAAAAACGCCTCCTCCAGCATCGGAGCCAATGGCGGAGCCTCGCTCTTTCGGATCGCAAGGCACCTACTGTTCGCCCCGCCCGGAAGTGGACTCGACCCCCCGAAAAAGGACCAACCCAAAAAATGAGACAAACCCCCAGAAAGGCCTCGAACTCTTCTTTCTTAGGGCCCCTTGAATGGACATCGATCTATCGATCCTTCTTTTTGACTCCAACCACTTTCGGTCCCCGTGCCAAGCCTGCAGCTTCAGACCGGCCAAGGAGAGTGAGTCTGAGACGCTTGAGGAAGGGTCGTTTCTGCAACGGGATGGGAATCTCCGAGGCTCAAGTTCAGCCCCGAGGCGCGGAATTCACCAGGAAACAGGCGGGAGTCCGGAAGAAAATGCTAGGTGATATGGATGGGGCAGGCACGAGGCAACCCGACACGGGACAAGATGCGAAGAGGCCAACTTGACCTCAAACCTGCAGCTCTCTTTGAGACCGTCGTTCTCAACACTCGATCTCCCGTTGGGTATTACCAAGTACCCACCAGGAATACCCGGGATGCTGAGAAGCCAGCCCATTATTCAGCTCCCAGGAATCGATTTATAGTGTTTGATTCGCCCAAGATAGCGCCCGCGCCCGGCAATAAGGTGCATGAATGCAGGGATGAGCAAGAAACAACCTGCGCTGTGCTGGAAAGCCATCCTCAAAAGCACTCAAATCATCGCGATTCGGAAACAACACGCAAAACAGAGCAAACAAGATGGAAAAGAAAAACAAGCAAGCAAGCAAACGAGCAAACAAACAAACAAACAAACAAACAAACAAACAAACAAACAAACAAAGGAGCAAACCAACAAAACCAACAAAAAAAGAGGCACAAGAGGAGAGCCAGAAATGGGTATGGGTAAAAAATAAGCCGCTAGGGGACCGCAGGTTTTAGTCTTTGGTTCCATTTACCAGGGCTTTGACCACCATTTTGGGGTGACCCTATTTTTGACCACCTTCTTGCCATTTTGCCCCCTCCTTCTTTAGGGAAATTTTATAGGCGTGTGGGGTCTGGGCCAGACAATTTGTTAAGCCAACTCGAGGAAAGCCGAAGCCGGCCCAGCTCTTCGCCTTCGGCGCCTCCGAGAAGGAGCCCCGCGGAAGGGGCGAGCACGGCGAGGCCGGCGACGCGGGGTCCTGGGCCGAAGAAATTCGGGCGGGCCGAAGGCAAAAGGGGTGGGCACTATTCCAGGGTTTTGGTTGAGACCTGGCTTACTTTTTGGGGTGGGGTAGTACTTGACTTACTAAGCATTGGATAAGCCCCGTCTAGGCTTGGATAAGCCCAGTCGAAGCAAATCTAATTTCCTGTAGAAGTTGCTGTGGAAATAGTCTGTGATAGTACTAATTTTACTTCTTTCATCTAACTGTCCTGGACCTTATGAAATATGGTTTGCCTTATGTTTGTTTTTTTTGAGGCCTGGCCTTTTTCGCCCATGTGGAAAAGCCAGCGGTGACTTAAATTTGGGTTCCTTTCGGAAAGAAGCCAAAACCACACCTGATGCTCCTTGAGTGCAAGCGATCGGAACGGCTTTGAATCCTTGGTTTTCTGAACAGTTTCTGGATGGCTTCGATCTTTCTCTTGCCAAAAGTGGTCCGCTTTTCAGGGTGATAAAGTCATACGGCTGTGAGTCAAAACCCTGTACCCCCAGCGGACATCCCAATCCCCAATGAAATAGACTAAAATGGGTGGTGCACCTGCCCCAAAATGGTACCATTGGTTTTGACCCACAGCAATACAAAAAGTGGGGTCATGGTGGATATCATGTCCAACCTCTACTTCCAAACTTTGAGATTGAAGAATGGCAAAAGATATGTGTGCGGCTCAAGTTTCAAGAGCCAACGGACCGCAGTCTTAGCATTTTTAACTGGGCAACCCAGTTTGGATCCCTATTCTTGAGACGCACCGAAAGCAAAGCTGAAGTCTAAAATTGTCTGAAGTCAAAGCCATTGAGAACCGAGGCCAAGCGCCTGGATTTGTGGTAAAGGGGCGGTTTGATTTATCAAGAAAAACCAGGTAACCCCACCAATCAAAGGGCACAGCTCCCACTGTTTTGGGGCCAAGTGTCCTTGGGTTCTTTATGGGGAGGCAGTGCCAAAGCGCCTCCCCCCCCCCCTGTCTGTGTGTGTCTGTGACTGCGTCCAATGAATTTGAGACACCGTACAAGAGGTCCCAAAAACAGATGCTGGGTATCGCCCGCCCCTGGTGAGACCGCTCTTCGCGCCTCTTTGCTAGCTTGGAGGCACTTGGGCTACAGGGAAGCTGTGACCATCTGATGAGCGCCAACAAGCCCGAGGAAAAAAACAAAAAGCCAGCAACAAGCCCTCACAAAACGACCCCATCTGGATTCGTGCGTCCCTCTATTTTGCTCTTGGCTATCAAGCGCCCCCCCACTGAATCTCCTAGAGAACAATGGACCTCAATAGACCCCATCCCCGAAAGGGGGCACCCTTTGGCAACCATATCGGTATGTTTTTTTTGAGGCTACCACTTCTTCGATGCTGTAAAGGAATTCCTCCAAACGACACGCCCAAAAAATATGTTGGCGCACCGCCGTGCATGCAGACCAACCCTTAGCCCCCAAAACTGGTCATTGCGAGGCGCCTCGAAGGTGACGGACGCGGGTACTAGGGAGGTCTCAGTGACCAGCCGCTCCTCCTGGCAGCGCGTGTGCGTGTACTCGTGTGTGCGTGTGTGCGTGTGCGTGTGTGGGTGTGTGCGTGTGCGTGTGCGTGTGCGTGTGCGTGTGCGTGTGCGTGTGCGTGTGCGTGTGCGTGTGCGTGTGCGTGCGCGTGCGCGTGTGCGTGTGGGCGTGTGGGCGTGTGGGCGTGTGGGCACGTGGGCGCGTGGGCGTGTGAGCGCGCGTGGGCGCGTGCGCGCGTGCTCGCGTATGCGTGTGCGTGTGCGTGTGCGTGTGCGTGTGCGTGTGCGTGTGCGTGGGCGTGCGCCTGCACGTGCGCGTGCGCGTGCGCGTGCGCGTGCGCACACGCGCGTGCGCGTGCAGGTCGCGGGTGCGCGTGCGCGTGTGCGTGTGCGTGTGCGTGTGCGTGTGCGTGTGGGGGTGGGGGTGTGGGTGTGTGTGTGTGGGTGTGTGGGTGTGTGTGGGTGTGTGTGTGTGTGTTTGTGTGTTTGTGTGTTTGTGTGTTTGTGTGTTTGTGTGTTTGTGTGTTTCTGTGTTTGTGTGTTTGTGTGTTTGTGTTTGCGTGTGTGTGTGTGTACGTACGAGTGTGCGAGTGTGTGCGCGTGTGTGCGCGTGTTCGTGTGTGCCTGTGTGTCTGCGCGCGTGTGCGTGTGTGTGTGTGTGTCTGTACGCGTGTGCGCGTGTGTGCGTGTGCGTTTGTTCGTGTGTGCCTGTGTGTCTACGCGCTCGCGCGTGTGTGTGTACATTTGCGTG